CATGCCCTGCCATTAACACAATTGGCTGACGTGACCAATGTTGAATGTTTACTTTATGTTCTGAAATAAAAGTTAATAACAGTGCCTAACAAACCGCCTCTCTTTCGTCTTTCAGTATTCCCCAATGTTCCTCAAGCGCCGGGATTGTCCTGCGATGGCGAAGATCGTAAGTATTGGCTCTAATAATAATATAATATAATTGCAACGATAACTGTTCGAGCAGCGAACACGACTAAAGATTACTACTTGGTATTGATTCATCGATCGTTTGACTCATTCACGAGTTGTATTTTGTACTTAAATTAAAAAAGGCTTTAAGCGTTTATGATCTTGGAAGAAATATATCATATATTCAAAGAACTAGAGTTGCCGCTTTGCACAATAAATAAATAAATAGAAAGAATTTGTTGCACAGCCATCATTTTCTCCAAGTTGACATATATATAACTTGACAATCGCTGTTGTAAAAAGTCAGTTAGGCAATGAGAAGTTATGCTAAACCAATTGGTCAATCGAACTTGATATTTCAGGCAGCATCTATCGACGCGGTGCTCGACGCTGGCGCAAGTTGTATCGCGTTAATGGACACATCTTCCAGGCCAAGCGTTTCAACCGGGTAAGTGCTGCTAGATTGCAAAATCCCTTAGAACCCTTAAGTATAATCAGATTTTGCCTTTCAGCGTGCTTTCTGTGCCTATTGCCAGGATCGAATCTGGGGATTGGGCCGTCAGGGTTTCAAGTGCATCCAGTGCAAGCTGTTGGTGCACAAGAAGTGCCATAAGCTGGTGCAGAAGCACTGCACCGACCAGCCGGAGCCGCTGGTCAAGGAGCGGGCGGAGGAGTCGAGTGACCCCATGTCAGTGCCCTTGCCGCCGCTTCCCTACGAGGCGATTGGCGGCGGAGCCGATGCCTGCGAGTCGCACGACCATGCGCACATAGTGGCGCCACCGCCACCGGAAGATCCATTGGAGCCGGGCACTCAGCGCCAGTACTCGCTGAACGACTTCGAGCTGATACGGGTCATCGGACGCGGCAGCTATGCCAAGGTGCTGATGGTGGAGCTACGACGCACACGGCGCATCTACGCCATGAAGGTGATCAAGAAGGCGCTGGTCACCGACGACGAGGACATCGACTGGGTGCAAACGGAGAAGCATGTGTTCGAGACCGCCTCGAACCACCCGTTCCTGGTGGGGCTGCACTCGTGCTTCCAGACGCCCTCGCGGCTCTTCTTTGTCATCGAGTTTGTGCGCGGTGGCGATTTGATGTACCACATGCAGCGGCAACGGCGGCTGCCCGAGGAGCACGCCCGTTTCTATGCAGCCGAGATCAGTCTGGCGCTGAATTTCCTCCACGAGAAGGGCATCATCTATCGCGATCTGAAGCTGGACAATGTGTTGCTGGATCACGAGGGTCACATCAAGCTAACGGACTACGGCATGTGCAAGGAGGGCATTCGATCTGGGGACACCACCTCCACGTTCTGCGGTACACCCAACTACATTGCCCCGGAGATCCTGAGGGGCGAGGACTATGGTTTCTCGGTGGATTGGTGGGCACTAGGCGTCTTGCTCTACGAGATGTTGGCCGGGCGTAGTCCGTTTGATCTGGCAGGAGCCTCTGAGAATCCCGACCAGGCAGGTTACTTTAGTTCTATGCCATGAAAATATCTAATTTGTTGCTCCTTTCCGCAGAACACGGAGGACTATCTGTTCCAAGTGATCCTGGAGAAGACCATTCGTATACCCCGCTCGCTGAGCGTTCGTGCGGCCTCTGTCTTAAAAGGTTTCCTCAACAAGAATCCCGCTGACCGTTTGGGCTGCCATCGGGAGTCCGCGTTCATGGATATCGTCAGCCATCCCTTCTTTAAGAATATGGATTGGGAATTGGTGAGTGCAAGGGCGGTTGACTTCATGCTAGCTCTGTGTGTCCTGGTGAACTTGTTTGTGATTATGATAAAGAGTCAGGTTGACAGGAACTAATAGTAATAGGCATTTATAGTATATACGCTATAAAAAGATTAGACTTGTCTCAGCATTTTATTGAGACCATCGTTTCCACATAGGTCAGGTCTAAAGTAACTCGTTCCACTTATATTTACTTTTATTTGTATTGCTGTGGGTATAATGTTGGCCGATAATGATTCCACTGAGGCAATCAGTACCGAGCATTTTCTTTATTACCTTGGATATTAATGATATCTATTATTACGTATCCGATTGCGCGTTAAAGATAGCTCAAAAGGAGGTGCAACCGCCTTATATACCGAACATAGACACGGGAGATCCCTATGTGACAAGCAACTTTGATGTGCAATTTACCCAAGAACCGGCTGTACTAACGCCCGATGATCCGTAAGTCAAACCGAGTTACCCCAAATCCGAAAGATGTATTTTGTACTCCTTGCATGAGATAAATCCCCGTAAGAGATCTTAGCTTAGCGTTCAGACTAACGGCAGGTAAATGTTACTATCGATCAGCCGCATTGCGACCATGTATTCCATCCATTGATCCACTCTATCTGTCTCTAAAAATTCTGAAACCGCTTTCAAAATGAATTTTACCATCGTCATAATCATGCTCAAGCCGCACCGACATAGTGGAGAAAAATGTTTTATGTTTGCCCATTGGCTGGGAGTTTTTCCTAATCGATTATGATTTCTACTATCCTCATGCACACCCTACATCACGCAGCTTGAGCGCAAACAGGTCACGCCACCATTCAAGCCACGCTTAGACTCAGACCGCGACCTGGCCAATTTCCCGCCCGAGTTCACCGGCGAGGCCGTACAGTTGACCCCGGATGATGAGTAAGTTGAGATCCAAGGTGGCCCTAAGCTTTATCTATCTATGTGAACGAGTTGCACTAACTGAAATGGCTAATTCACAACGATGTTCTTTCACTCTCAGTCATGTCATTGACAATATCGATCAATCCGAGTTCGAGGGCTTTGAGTATGTGAACCCCTTGCTGATGTCCCTGGAGGATTGCGTCTGACACCACGAAATGTGCGACTTACATCCGTATAACATGCGGGTAAGTGATCCACTGAGATGTAAATCTGATCTTAGACTAATAGGTGCCTTTCTTCTTAGCTCTATGGCGAGGATTCCAGTGATTACGATTCCGTGGCTGACGATTTGAGTCTCCTGCATTTGAACAGCGCAGCGGGAGCTGGTGGATCAGTTAGCAGCAATAACAATCTCAGCCAGCAGCAACATTATCGCCAGCAGCAGCAGCAATATCAACCCCATTCAGCATACTCACAACAGCAGCAACAGCAGCAGCAGCAGCAACATCAGCAGCTGCAGCAACTGCAGCAGCAGCATCAACAGCAGCAGCAGCAGCAACAACTTCATCATAATGGTAACAATAACATTCATAATAATCAAATGCAAGCAAATAATAATAAAAGTCTACTGCAGCACATGTTTTGCCTTCCATTGAACTAATTAAAATAACGAATTAGATAAAACAACAAGCAACAACAATGAGCCACACAGCAGCAACAAATAGCAGAGCAACTAAGAAAATTAAAACGATTCCAAAAATATAAATTTCATAATATACAATCTATATAATCCTTTCTCAACAACAGACACAACTTTCACAAGCAAAGTATATTTATTATATAAAATGCAAAAGCAAAACGAAACAAAAACTGTCACAAGTTGCAAGTATTACACTAAACGATTACTTTACTATTTAAGCACCTAGGCAGCCAGGCAAACTTTATGCAAGCAAAGGATAAACCATTTCATAACTCAATGCAAGACTTTTCACCAAGAAACTTAGGGAGAATGATCCCGCGAGAATGCAACAAAGAACTTTTTAAGCTAACAAAATACGTGCATCAAATATGAATATATAATTTTTAAAGGTTTAACACTTCAATGGAAATTTTCAAGTTCATTTTACTAGCCAGGAAGTGAGCGGTGGAGGGGCCGCGGAGTATATATTTCAAGTGAATCAATCTATAATATCTAAGCATATATAAACTCTAATGTAAAATGTGTGTGTGTTAGTTTTAGAGAGCAGAGCATGGTTTTTAAAGGCGACAGACAGCAAAGGATCGACATATACATACGTGTACTGTGAACAGCAATAGTTAATGAAAACGAAATACCAATTGTAACTTCGTACATCTAATTATTACACAGAGAACCATTAACCGAAGTTGAGTCGGGGGAAGTTCCCTTAAAATGCGAACAAAATCATATTTATTTATTTTATTCATTTTCTACTCTGTATTTTTAACAACAAGCAAACACAATCCGTCTACTGGCAATATATCTTTGTTAAGTATTAAAGAAACTTTTGTTTTATGCATTCCACTGTACTTACAACAACAAAAATATATTTTATTGTTTATTTGTGATGGCATATATAGTGCCAGCATGTTTTTGTAATCCACATATGTATGAATATTACGAAAATTATTAAAATTAGTATATATCAAAAATATCATTGTGTTGCGAAGGTAAATAAAATATTGTGTTTTTAATTGAAGCTAAAAATAAATTTCAACAAAAATGTTACTTGTTAATGTATGAAAAGCAAATAAAAGAGAACAAATTAAGCGCATATTGTTAAATTTCCAAATACAACGCAATCTAAGAAAGTAATATTGATCAAAGTTTTTGATTAAAGACATAGCAAGCAATCAATTTAAATGCTAAACAAACAAGACGAACAGAAAAACTATTTCAAATTGCACTTAAACGTTACCGATTTTATTAGTAACAACCTTCATTCTTTAGCCTATCCCAACTATTACGTTGTTGTGTTTGATAACCAAGTTCTATGAGTAAGTTTAATTAGTATATAATGATTTTAACGAGCGTGTACATCAATTTGTAACTTCTTCAACTGATGTTTCCGACTAATTTTTTAAACTGGATGCACTTTTGGCATATATTACCAGATGCTAGCAAAATGAAATTGAAAACGCGAACGATAGTTGCGTTGCAATTATGCATATAAACAAAAACGAATAAAGTATTGTATAAGACAAGTTTGGGCTTTAATTGGTTTGAATACAACTACCGAAAAACATTTATTAACAACTCAACAAATGCAAAACGTTTTCCCTTCGGGTTGAATGGCCACCCCTCAGTTGCTGCTCTGCAAAATGGAGACCGGCTCTTGCATAATCTCCTGCATCTTCGCCTCCGGAACTGGCACCCCATTCGCCAGCAGAGTGTGAACGATGCCATCATGTTTATTGCCACTTGAGCGTGCCTGAAGCACGAATTCCGTGTCCTGCAGCAGGAACTTGGTGTCTGTGCCGCCGTGAACAAAAACTGACTGCGAAATGGGGGTAATAAAGTGTGAGAGTGCTGTGGCTAGAAGGCTGAGCCAATAGACCGTTTCGCTCACCTCCTCGGTGCGCAGCTCATCGTTCACATAGAGACTCAGCGTGTCCAGCTTGAGCATTATCCTATACTCCTGCGGCGCCTCTGCGGCCGCATCATCTGTATACAGCCACAGTCGATACTGCCGTGTCATGTCCTCGGTGTACTGGTCGTGCGACTTGCCGTCGATGTACAGGGAGTACTCGTACTTGAACCCCGGCGCAGGATCAACGCGTATGATGCAGCGCGTCTGATCGATGTGAAAGGTGTCCTCGCCAACCAGTTTGAACATCCAGTCGCGACGCAGGACCTCCTGGGTTTGGGTCAAAAGAGACATTCAAATATCTGCATTAGACTTATGAACTTTGTAGTTAATTTTAATGGCCCTTTGAATCGTTGCATTTGCTTTACAGTTTATCACGCATACGCACCGTTGCCTTTGATCAAATCTTCTACTTTCTTTGTTATCAAAATTTAATTTAGGCATTCAATTAATTACGAATTTAATACGTTTTTAATGGCGCTTAAATTCCAATTTGCCATGTAGTAAACGTGCACTTAATGATGTCCTAAGCATGAATATAAAAACTGAAATGCTCAAAGTCGTTGAGGGAAGCATAAAAATATCTTGAGGAATAGTTAAAATGAAGTAAAGCCTTTATACATTATTTGAATACTTTCTTTAATTAAATGGGACCGTTTTAAACATCATTCTGCACAGCTGAAGGATGAATACGTACGTACGACCCGTAATTAAGTTCACCTTCACAATGCAAATACTTCACGAGCTCCAAAGCCACCAGCCACCCAACCAGCCCCCTAGGAGCGAAAAACCTTACCCGTCCATTGACCCAAATCATGCGGCGCCCACTGGTTGTGCCATGTTCCAGCTCGATGCGGTACATCTGCGCAAAAAATAAAGAGGGGGAATGGGGGGACAATTATCGCGAATTTCCATCAAATATAAGTGGCGGTTTTGAAGAAACAATCATATGTACCTTGCCATTGATGGGCACACACCATTGGGCGACGATATTTTGTTTGTTATAGCGCTGGTCCTCGGGCACATGATCCTGCGTCATCGTGGGCTGCGTGGACAGATTCTCCAGGCGCAGTGTGGGCGACAGAAAGGACATGGGTCTGCAGCCACGTGTCGATCTGGCTCTGGCCCACCGACAGTCAATCAATAAATCCTATTAATATTTATTGTAACCGCCTTTAAAGTGCAGCCAACCAAATGGGTTACACAAAACCAGAGGCACGTAGCTAGATACTGGTGTATTTGGTGGGTTCAAGGAACCCGATTGCGCCCCGACTTGTGTAATCTGCAGATCTGATTTTAATGCACTTGCTCCATCCCCGTGCTTAGACCCCCCCGCAAGTGGGGCTAGAATTTATTCCGTTCTCTGACTTCACCGGCGGCGAGAAAACCGCAGCGACCGAACCGCACGTTGTTAGCGCCAATGGCACACTAAACAACAAACCCGTGTACAATAAAAGCCAAAGGAGGAGCCAAAGAAAAACTAGTTGGCCCGGCTGCCGCTGCCTTTGCCTTTGCCTTTTGGCCGGGCTCTCCGGCAGCTCTGCTTCTGGCCGAGAGTCGCGGTCGCGTTTGTCGGTCTGCCAAAGTGCAGAGCAACTACGCCGCATGGCGCCAAAACAGAGTTGATTTGTTTCCACTAGTCGTGCGTGTGGATATGCGAATGAGTGTGTGTACAGGGAAACCCCTTAAGACTCACACACATCCACTGGCCATACCTTAATGGTACATACCTTAGCTGATGGTAAATACTTAGCATTTAAGCCGGATATGTAAAGTTGAGGAAATCTTCACCACTTCTCCTACTAATATTTAGGTGTTTATATATTCGGTTCTCGCTGTGCAGTCTTCACTGTAAGCACTTCTCAATACCCCGCCGAGTGTCGCTCGCATAAAAATAAACTTTGCCCCGCCAAGTATGCAATTGTTTCTGCATTGCAATTGGGCTGGCTTTCAGAACGAGCCTGGTCTGGGCTTTTTTCGCCAATGCCTCCGGCCTCCAATTGAGCGTAAGCCAAACAATATCCGTGCATACATATTTTACTCTGGATGACAATTATTTGGCCCTGGGGGATAGGAACTCACTGTGCCACATGGCCAATCGTCGCAAATTTGTCGCATTTTGTTTTGTTGTCATGTTTATGGCGCTACATTTTCTGCCCATAAATACACGCCGAAAATGCTAATGACCGACCGACTGGCTGGGTGGGCTAGTGGGCAATGGGTGGATTTCTTTCGCTGCCAAACGGACGCGAAGACTTGCCGCCTCCGCTTGGTATTTCAATCGACCAGAAGCGATATTGATAAATGTATTTGGGCCAGATTGGTAAGGAGTCGCCCACGAAACGGGCACATCATATGTCAAATCAAGTTTCCCAGCTCTGGCCCCATATAGATCGGCTCCAACCCATTATCCCCCATATTGCCAACCCCGTGGGTTGGTGGGTGGCAAGAAAAACATATGCCAGCGCCCCAGCACGCGAAGGTCACTGACAAAGCGCCGTTTGAAGTCGCTTACAGTTTTAGTTGATGTTGACGCTATCAAAGGGGCAGAGTGGGTGGCGATGGGTGGGCTTTCGCCTTTCTTCGGGTGTTAGTGTGTGTGTCCGTGTGTGTGTGTGTTTGCTGGTGTGTGATGAAGGAAAGCGGCCGCTTGACAACAACAGCAACGGTGGCAGATAACGAAACATTTGACAAGGACAAGGCTCCCGCCCGACGCCCGCCGCCCATCAACTCCCCTTTCAGCACAAAGCTCCCCGGGATCAGTGTGTTAGTGTAATTATTAGTGCTCTACAAAAAAATAAGTACGTATATTCATGCAAACATCCATTTTTTGCACGCTTGCTCGCGGATCCGCTGACTAAAGCACCATGGGAGTTTTGTGCATTTTCCCCCTAGAAATCTCCAAAATTAATCCAGTTTTGTTCCCCTTTAGTGGAATCCTTTTGTGTATTAGCAAACTATCTCATGTTTATATGCCCTTACCATCTATTTGAATGGAAATGGTCTTATACTGTGTCATGATTCTTGGTTTGAAGTCAAGTACTAGTTGAATGATACTTAAGATGTATACTTAACTAAAAAGTTTCGAAGTCATTGAAATAACATTAAAATTCCCTCTGCGGGGTTAAAAACTAAAAGCTAACTAACTCATTTCCTTTCAAGAAATGTAAAACACTAGTTGATTTCTATTTAAAAATTATATATTTTCATTAGGTGGAGTTTTGGAATACCTGCACTTCATAAGAGCTCCGCTTATTTATCATTCGCAGCCCATCGTGCGCGGTTGCGCTTTTACGTTGACTACTTTCCAGCTGAATTTATGGCCATTCCGCTGGTTGTACACTTTTTATGCAAATACATGTGGCCAAAAGTGCCGCAACAGACAACATTCGGTGGCGCTGTCGCTGATGATGTCGTACCCAGTGCCGTGGAGCGGGGGGCAGGACATGCCTGGAGCGGGTGGTCCTGGGGGATTGGGTTGCGTGCTTCGCTGGTGTCGGCCAACTGGCACACTACAAATGTCGCCGTCAATTAATTTCCATAGATAATTGCCTGTCGATAACGACAGCGGCAGCCGGGGCATTAATCAAAAGGCCGGCAGGCTGTTGACTGGATGGTTTTTTTGTACTTGGCCATTTCGGTGGCTGGCTAAGATTTAATCAAAAACTATGGCGAAATGACAAAGTGAAAGTTGTATTTCAGTGATTTGTGGTAACGCTCTTAAATCAAATTGAATTGGCAAAATGTGTGCGCTTGCTTAAGTTAGCTAGATTCGTATGTAGTATGTGTGGGCGTGTGTTCTTCAATAATGCACATATGTATGACTATATATAAACGCTATGAATATAGAAGTGCTTAACTTTCGATTAGATTTCACGTGTTTAACCAGATAAATAATAATACTGATCACAATGCCAATAGCGTGAGAATTCAGTGTGTGCTAACAGTTCACCATTGAAAATAATGTTTGACACTTCGATCGATTGGATAATAAATATAGATTGTACGTATATGTAAATATATATATAGAATTTATATTGCTGCACCATAACAACTAACATAAACAGCAAATATCTTTTGTAATCAAGAAATTGATCTATACATATAATTTTGGGGAACAAATTTGAACAACGCTGGGCGTAAAATAGGCGCTAGTTGAAGGTAATTTGTCTGATTATCGCGAGTATATATAATGAGTGCGTATATATACTGTATATATAATCGACGCTAATTGCACTATTTATATGTATTATGCTGATACATTCCACTGGCGGTCAGAATAATGCACAACTTGAGATACAAATGCCATTTAAATGTAATCTACGCATCGTAATAATAAAGTACAGGGTATTTATATGTGTCTGGAACTAATAATTGACACAACGTATTATTGCTTCTTTAAATTTATAACTTAACTATTTACATACGATATCGATTAAATACTGATTAAATAAATCAAACTTCAAATTATATTTAAACGGTCTTAAAGTCAAATCATTAATTCAATTCATTTTCATTCAACTTAAATTTTGAGAATACTTGAGGGCTATTACTACTAAATTTGGCCGTATTGTGTTAATATTCTTCTATTGAGTATGGAAATACTTCAGCTAGGTGCAGAGAAAATGGCAGTTTGGATTCGTCTATTTAATATACAAAAGCAAGGCATAATCTAGCTGGCGATGACTGTTGGTTTGACCGCCAGTACGGAAGGGTATTATGAACTAACACTATGATCGGTCCAAGTGGTTTTTATCCGATTTCGGCGATGCTGCTTATTGGAAAAATGCGTTAGAAAAATGCACAAAAAGTCTTCGGTCTCGGGTTGGGAATCGGCTTAGGTTGGTAAATAGATGGTCCATCATTTTCTCGACAACATTATGTTCATGACCGCGCCGCAGTTTAGCAGCACTCGTTTGGCATCGCTCAGGTTGGCGTTGGTCAGGTCGTAGCCGTCTATTTCCAGCAACTTGTCGTTCAGATTCAGTAGGCGGGCGGCATTAGTATTGGGCGTTATGGAGCTCACAAAGATGCCAACCTGTGGTGGTAAATGGTTACAATTATTGCCTGCTGTGCGGTTGAAGGATTTGTGAACTTACCTGATTAAGAAGCTCGGCTATATCAAAGCCTATAGTGTTCTCCCACTTGAGGGTAACCTGTTTGACTGTTGGATTTTTGTGGACACCAAAGATCCAGGTGGATTTCTTATGGCTCGCCTTGGAAGTATTGTTAGTGGCCGTGGAATTAAGCGAGTGCTGCGACATGGTGTCATCCAGCTCCTGGTCTTCCTCCTCCGGATTTGGTTCTAAATTATTGCTAATATTATTTTGGTAGTCCAACTGATCGACTGACTCCTCGATTTCCTGAGCGCCTATCGCTGTGGTTTTGAAGTTACTATTGCTATTCAAAGCATCTTGGTAGATGGTTTGTTCTTGCAGCTGTTGTTGCTGCTTTCGCTGCCTCATGGACTCGTAAAGGTTAAGATCCTCGGGCGTTTTCTTAGTGTAAACTCGTGCTATGTGGTATGGTGGTGGTTCCAGCCGTGGAGGCGGCACCGCCTGTTGCTGCATTGCTTGTTGCTGCAGCGGTTGCAACTCATAGTCCTGATCCCCGTTTAAATGCGTGGTGGGAAGCGGCGTGTTTGCCTCGACGTAGAGCTGCTGATAGTGTCCTTCATAGTTGACCAGTGGCAAGCCGTAGTACTCCTGCGTTGGCACCGGGTGCGCCAGCTGTTGCGGTTGCTGATAGACTCCGTAGATGTGTGTCGTTTCGGGCGCTATGCCATATATTGCACTTGTTGTGGCCTGGTCCACAACATCCTGGTTGGCATTGCTGCTATCACAGTGAATTTGTCCATTGGCTACTACGCGTGCCTCCCTCACCTCGCTGGCATTGGCCGATGTGGTCTGTGCCTGAGCCTGCCTCACATATTTGGCCATCTGTCGCAGTTCCTTGGGGTAAGGTGTGGGTGAACGCATTAGCCGCACGGACCCAGCCATCTGATCGGGCGTTGGCGTCGGTGGAGCGGCCACAAAGCTGGGATAACTGGGCGCCGGCTGTGCTTTGGCGTTGCTTAGAATGGTGGCCTCCTCAGCGAAGCAAATCCTCCTCGACGGACTCACATGAGGCTGCTGCTGGTTGGCGTAAACGAACTCGTACTGCTCCTGAGCCTGCTGTTGGGCCTGTATACTGTTCATTTTGAACGTGACCTGCGGCAGCATGAAGCAGGTCAACTGGGTCTTTGTACTTGCATCTAGATATTGCAGCGGCACCAAGGGCTGGGATTGGTTATCGCTCAGCCACATCGATGTGAGATTAACCAGATTTAACATCGAAACGGGCAATGCATTTATGTAGTTATTTACTACATTGAGTACCTTCATCTTGCTCAGGTTTCCAATGTTCTGTGGTAGGGCGGACAACTGGTTGTTGGCCACACTTAGCACACTTAACTGCTGACAGCTGCACAGCTCATCTGGTAGTTGTCGTAGTTGATTATCATCGGCGAACAAAAAGCGAAGGCTTCGCAACATTCCAATTGTGCTAGGAAGGCGTATAAGCTTGTTGTGGCTTAGTACAAGTTCCTCGAGCTGTTCCAAGTAGCTTATGCTGTCGGGCAACTCTGTTAGGCCGTTTGACTCGCACTTGAATGTCACCAGGGACTTTAGCATGCCCACGCTGAAGGGAAAGGCCTCCAGACTGTTGGAGCATATGGACAGCACCTCCACGTTGCGCCAGTTGCTCAGCTCGCTGGGAAGAGTGTCCAGTAAGTTGCCATTGGCTTCGAAGTGTTGCAGATCGCGTAGCTTGCCAATGTTGGCCGAAACACGTCGTATTTGATTGAAGTCGATCCATAGTTCGCGGAGGGACTTTAACTCGCCGACCACCTCTGGCTGTGGATGAACAAATTAATTTAAATTTAAGAACTTAAAAAATGGTATTTACAAGATCTGACAAAGGTTCAACGGCAATCAATTATATATAATTCTAGATTAAAATAAGCATTTACAAAGCTTTTACGATTAACGATATTAAGTTATATTGTAATTCTTTATCAGAGCTGTATACCCATGGCTTATTGCTTACCAACTCGGTAAATTCATTACCGCCAATGTCCAGCCTCTGTAGGTTGATTAGTCTCACCATGGACTTGGGAAGTGTCATGAGATTGTTGAGCCGCAGCTCCAGAATTCTCAGATTTACCAATCGGCCAAAGTTGGCTGGTAGGAATTCAAGATAGGTCTCGTTAAGAAGAAGCTCCTGCAGTGAGATTAGCGAGGTAATGGCATCGGGAAGACGTTGCAGACTGTTGCAGCTCAGGTCCAGGTGGGTTAAGTGCTTACAAGACTTGATTTCCTCGGGCACATTGACAATAACTGATGGAATAAATGGTGTTTTAGTACTGAGGGATGAACAAAGAAAGAAATCTTACGATTCCGGTTGAGATCCAGATGCTGCAGCTGACGCAGGCTGCCAATGGCCTGCGGAATGCTCTCCAGATTGTTGCTGTTTACGTGGAGCACCCTTAATCCCTGACAATAAAACAATTGCGGTGGCAGAGCTTGCAACTGGAAGATAATGAATGGTAAATAATGACCGCAGATAAGAATAAATAAAGACATACTCTTGTGGTGCTCAGGTAAAGCTCCTCCAGGGTTCTCTCGTGCTGCCAAACTTCTGGGAAGTCGGTAAGCGGGGTATTACTATAGTCCAGCTTGTCGATCACCTCCTCGCGCTTGAATTTGAAGCAGGGGAAGCATTTGCTCAGCAGCGGCATCTTTGGATTAAGTTTATTGCTTTTCGTTCGTTAATTAAGGCACGTTTGTGGCTGCTGCAAATTGTATTCATATACATATGTAAGTTGACTGTCTCTGGATTTGGGGTTGGGCCTCTCCACTCACCTGTGATTCATCGCCTCCAATGGAACGCTATTGTTGGTCCTGCTCCATTACATTCCATGTCCATTGGCATTTTTGGGCTTGTTATTGTTCTGCCCACCAACACTAACACGCACAGGCACACTCACCCACACTCGCATACACACAGAGGGGACTTGCTGAGCCTCTCTTTTCGCTCTTTCGGGCATTTACTGTCCGCAAATCGATGATTTCATTGTTTACTCAAACGCTGCATGTGCCACACGAGGGGGTTATATTTATTTTTGCCATCTAATTGCGTTTTATTTAATGTTTTTCGCTTTGAAAACGACAAGTTGCTTGCAGGTGTTAGTGTTGGTAAATGCCGAACGCGCTAGTGGTGGCTGATCAATTAGTCGGGGCTTAGATTGTTAGTAGCTATCGATAGTTTGTTTACATACTTAAAATATATGTTTGAAGCTTTAAGCTTACATAATTAAGACATTAAATGATTCTTCCCGCCATGATATTTGTAAGTTAATTTTCCCAAGTAATTATTTGCAGTAAAAGATATTTGTAAGCATCGCATTACTATCGAAAGGCCACAGGCTCGGGTTCATATACTGACAGACAGATGGCGCCACAAAGCAGCCGTTCAATTTCAAATGGAAGCCAAAAAAAAAGAAACGTTACAAAAATATTGCACTTGCGCTTGCAATTTTACTCAAAACGCTTAACGCTTTGCTAATCAATATTTACTCTACACTTCCTGGCCGCGATTGCGCTTAGGTAAGCCGCGCCTATCGTGTTGCCGCAACTGCTGATAACGGCATCTTGTTAACTTGGTAATAAAACAAATAGCAATAAGGGGAAATCAAGCGTTTTGGAAGCTGCAAAGTTCAAATGGGTTAATGCGAATTCCGGTCAAAAACAACCAATTAAAGCTGAGCTCACATTATCCCAAGTCAGACTTTGACATTAAGTGTCGTCAGGTTTCGTGTGTTTCGATGGTGTGAAAATTATTCAAATACCAGCCTTTTTTCATTTTTTTCTTTTCTTCTATTTTTGTTTTCTGTCCTATGGCCGTCGTGGGCAGCGCATTGACGAATTTACACTTCAAACAATTGTTAAGCTCTACAGCATAGTGCAAATAAGTACGTAATAAACTATGTGTGCTTGTTGCCGCTGCCATTTGCAAGAGTAAAACTGAGCTCAGTTTCGTTTTCATAGTTGTCCGCTGCAGTTGGATCCGTATCCGAATCGGAATCGGTTGGTGTGAGTGGGATATCTGTGCCAATCTCGCTGCATCATCTGGGCAAATCGGGCTATATCAATAGAAGTTGTGTTTACGCATTGATAGTTGAATATCAAACGTGAAAATTAAGGCTTACTATTGACTGCCGCAATAATATTTAAGGTTTTTTTAAAGTTTTCTCTTAGCATGTGGTGTGTATTGTTTTAAAATGTATCAGAATCAGAAGACAAACTGGCAATTTACATATTTTAAAAATTCTCAGAAAGTTGTACAAACTGATGAACTAATCAAAGGCCCGTAATGGATGTTTATTAGCAGTTGATAGTTATTTTAGTTGAGGTTCTAAAAGAAACCCTTAAGGGTGTGCCTTAATAATTAGCAAGCAATTACAAGAAATAAGTTTCAATTGATTTTAAAGTTTTATCTTTATTGTTACCTTACAATAGGTAATTGTAGAAAAGGTTATTCCTTGCCGTGTTCCGATTATATTAAACGTACGTTGACACAATTCAAATAGGACAGCTTACAATTTCAAACACCTGTGCACAGTGGCTTAGCCTTATTTTTTTGAAAGGGAAAGCTAAAATGACTAGATTACTAATAGAACGGAAATATTAGGTGTGGCGAAATAACATCTATCTATTGAACACAAGGATGCAGAGACCCCCTAGTACGCCCATGTCCCTTTGAAGCGGCACATCATAAATCATTCATAAATCACTCAATCGCACGCATCACACAGATAAACAAGAGAGCGTGGAAGGTCGGAAGGTTGTGGGCGAATAGCACCCCTAAAAAGCCCGCCCACCCCAACTTTCGATTCTCTCCCTCGTGGTGGTAGTTTCACCCCCTGAGCGAAACGGTTATGCACAGGGAATTTAGTTTGGATGGTTTTAAACCATTATTGTTTATTGTTTTCTTTGCGGAAACTTGTAATTCCTTTTTTAGTCACGTTAGTGCCACCAAACCAGCTAGGAACGTTACTTCTTCTTGCCTTTGCCCTTCTTGGTGCCCTTGGCTTCCTTGGCGGCTGGCTCCGCAGCGGTAGTGGATCCGGAAGTCACAGGATCGGCGGTCGGTTTCGCCCCAGCAGGAGCGGCAGCCCCTTTCTTGGCACCCTTGCTCGAATCCTTCTTTGCGGGCATTCTGAAAGAAAAATCGGAAAAAGCAAACTAGTTCAGGCTGCGTCTAAAAAATGTACACTTTTGCACTAACTTCACACGAATTTGGAACAAATCGCAGAGAAATTTTTACTCCAGCCAAAATCGTTGTTACTCGCTTGGAATTTCGACACAAAGTGATTTATTATGAATTTAGTTCTATCATCCCCAAAGCAAAAGCCAAGGCTTGCTTAGAATGTCATTTTTTAGCAGAAGCACATTTCAAATACTAACCGTTTCGCGAATCGGTTAACGATTCGCGCCAGTTTTGGGGGCGGACTCTCTTTGAACTCTCCGTCATATTCCCGTTCTCTCTCTCCGCCAGTTGTCTCGTTATTCCGATTTCCGTGCAGTTGAGGAAACGAAAGCCAAGTGCGCGCTACATAGGCCGCATAATTTTCTAGTGCAATTTCTATTTAGGTAATTTTAGTTTTTAGCGCAACGTGCTTTCCTCGCAGCTTAAGAATCCACTCATAAGTAGACGAAACGTATTCCCAAAAAAGTGTGAGAGCAGGCCAAGCTTTTCCTGACACCGCAAAACGGAATAACACCCATTATCGATTTTGTGCACATGAAAAGCGTTCCTGCAACACCCAAAGAATATTTGGCCAAATTCCCTCATAACTCAAGTGCATAAATCGGCGAAATAATGGCAGCCAAGCGGAATGCGGTGACCACGGAAGCTCCGGAATCGTCGGCGCCCGGCGAAGGTACCGCCCTTGCCCTCGACTCCCGCCTGTCCAAGCGCGTGGAGAGCGTCATCCCCAAGAAGCGGTGAGTGCCAAAGAGCTGAGCCCCGTTCACACCAAAGAACCCAGGTTGAACGAGGAAACTTAATTTTGTAATTATATTATTTTTTAATTTTTTGTGATACAATTGTTTAAATGATACACTTATTGCTTAATGGGTGTAGCATAGTATACACTTTAATTAGGCCTTTTAATCTATGAAGAATGCATTGTTTTAATATAATTACTGCCACTTATCCAGTCGTTATTATAATGCAATTTTTATGATAAACCTAAACCTAATGTTAATGTATTTCATATTTCAAACACAGACACGAGGCACTAAAGTGGTTCGGATGGGGCTATAACGATTCCGAGTTCTATGGCCAGGACGGGATCATCTGTTTTCGCGGTGAAAAGTGAGTAGAGTACATTGAACTTCCACTTTGAATAGTGACAAGCATGTCCTATTGCCCCACAGATATCCCCTCGGTGGCTGCGAGCTGCCCAGCTTCACCAAGTGGGTGGAGCACAAGTTCGACCTGAGAGTGGATACCACCAAGCCGTTTCCCCAGTTGCCACGCTCGTACCCGCGACCCGTGGAGAACGCGCCCTTCCTGCACGAGCTGAAGGGCACCACCCAGGTGGAATACTCCTTGGAGGGCATCGATCGGCTGGTGCGCTGTCATGGCCAGACCCTCAACGATATATACAGCCTGTGGCACCACAAGTTCCGTCGGATTCCCGACTTGGTGGTGTGGCCACGCTGCCACGACGAAGTGGTCCAGTTGGTGCGGCTGGCCCACAAGCACAATGTGATGCTGGTGCCTTTTGGTGGCGGAACGAGCGTATCGGGAGCCATCACCTGTCCGCAGAACGAGAGTCGGATGATCTGCGCCCTGGACACCTCCCAGATGAATCGATTATTGTGGCTCAACCGGGAGAATCTCACCGTTTGCTTTGAATCCGGCATTGTGGGTCAGGATCTGGAGAGGGTGTTGCGTGGCGAAGGCCTGACAGTTGGCCACGAACCTGATTCCTATGAGTTCAGCACCCTGGGAGGCTGGGTGGCCACCCGTGCGTCTGGCATGAAGAAGAACGTCTATGGCAACATAGAGGATCTGGTGGTGCGAGTGAGGATGGTCACTCCGTCGGGAACGCTGGAACGTGAGTGTAGTGCGCCGCGCGTGAGTTGTGGACCTGACTTCAACCATGTTATCATGGGATCCGAGGGCACTCTGGGAGTAATCACCGAAGTGGTGCTAAAGGTGCGTCCACTGCCAACGGTAAGGCGTTACGGATCCCTGGCCTTTCCCAACTTCGAGCAGGGAGTGCTCTTCATGCGCGAAGTGGCGAGGAGGAGATGCCAGCCCGCCTCCGTTCGGCTGATGGACAACGAGCAGTTCATGTTCGGCCAGGCCCTGAAGCCGGAAAAGTCCTGGTGGGCCAGTGTGGTGGATGCCATGAAGCAGCGCTACGTTACCTCCTGGAAGGGCATCGATCTCAACCAGATCTGCGCTGCCACCTTGCTCTTCGAGGGCGACTTAAAGGACGTCCAGCGACAGGAAGCACTCCTCTATGAGATCGCTGCAAAGTTTCAGGGATTTCCGGCAGGTGGACAAAATGGGGAGCGGGGCTACATACTCACCTTTGTGATTGCCTACATTAGGGTAAGTATTCTCTGAAATTGTACAACTAAACTAAACGTAATCTACAAGTAAAGATCAACAGCATTATCTCTATGGCCCTGTGCCTTTTCCGGTTTTCCGACTTTACGTTCCCCTACTTTTATTTAGTATCGTTATTTAGTTTTCTAGTGACTCGAAATTACTTTTAATGCTATCGTGCCCAAAAAAACATATTTCATTTCGATCGATCACTTAGCATAGAATCAAATAAGCTTCATGATAAATCTTCCTAATCTGTATTTTCTTATCAGAGTTAAAATGGGATTAATTACCATAATTTATCTGCAACTAAAATAGAACAATTGGCAAACTTGTCATTTATGAAGATAACTGCGTCAAAATTGTTGCCAACCTATTTCCTGAACTGATTTAGTAAATGAATGTGTGATTTAGTTCCAGACCAACGTAATACAACATATTTGTGATTATGAAATCCGTTCCCTCATTTAAGTTAGCCTATTATAGTCATTCCGATACTAGACTAATATAAATGTTCATATGTTTTTCAGGACTTTGGACTGCATCAGGGAATTGTGGCGGAGTCCTTTGAGACATCGGTGCCTTGGGATCGCTGCAGTCTGCTCTGTCGTTCTGTAAAGCAGCGCGTTGTTTCGGTGAGTGCTATATTTAACTACTCATGAAGCAACCAATAAGTATCATCTTGACCATCCCAGGAGTGCAGCAAACGCAACATTAACTACTACACCATTTCGTGTAGAGTAACCCAAACCTACGACGCCGGCGCCTGCATCTACTTCTACTTTGGATTCCGCAGTACGGACGTGACCGATCCCGTGGAGCTTTTCGAGGCCATCGAGCACAACGCCCGCGATGAGATACTGTCCTGCGGCGGATCACTGTCGCATCACCATGGCGTGGGAAAGATACGAAGCCATTGGTACCGCAACGCCGTCACCGAAACGGGCAGTTCACTGTACTCGGCGGCCAAGCGGCATCTCGATCCAAAGAATATCTTTGCCCTGGGCAACCTCCTGCCCCTGGAGGAGGCTCATCCACAGGCGGAGGCTCCACCACCACCACCAGCCACATCATCGACACCACCAAAGGCCAAATTGTAGAGGGTAGCCCAATTAATAGTGCGCTTAGTTCGTTTAATAGTCTTAGTCACTTACTAATTTCCTAGTCGCTCTTGGGGGTTCGGGTCTCCAGTTCTTTTGTAGCGGGCTCATGTTTTCTATGGGTTTTGATAAATAAATGGAGTGTTCTTCACGCATTTCCTATTTACCATTTAAATACCTATTTTTCGCTGTGTAGCAATAGCCATAGACAGAACTGATTTGCGTGTGCGTGTACCAACTGCGGACCAAATGCGAAATGCTGATCATTGTCTTCTCATCTGCTCATCGAAGTCATTTGCGGCTTGATGGCGCACCGTTCCGTCCGAGGAAAGAGCCAACATCGAAGATCGGAGCGCCCATAGCCCAGAGATCAAATGTCATCAAGTTGTCAACTTCGTTAGCATGCCACAAGGCAGCGATCCAGCTTGGCTTAAAGTTCTTGGCCAGGCTGGTTAAACGGGTGCACAGAGAAAAATGCTCAACAAATTTGAAAAAATTGTAAAATACGTAAAATAAATGCAGAATTGGTCATCCTTAGGTGTTACTAGGTAAACAGTGGACAGCTTCTTACCAGAATGTTTGCAGTAACCAATGGCTTGTTGTTTTTTTATGTGTGCGAGCAAGTAGGGGGATGAGGCAACTCCAGCGGCTTATTGATGGTCGAGGAGAAGTCGTCGACTTGGCTGTCTTGTTACCCAGGCATTGGATACTATATGGTATATGCGCTACATGCCCCCCGAGCGCATTTCGGCCTGGCTAATACACACACATGCGGCCTATAAATAAAGATTACAATCGGCAAAAGTGAGCAGAAGAGAAGTCCGTCTAAGCCACGGCCTCCGCCTGGAAATTGTCAGCAATTAACCCGCGGGTCAGTACCGGAAAACGCTGGCAGTCCTGCGTCCCAAACCCTGTGATTTATGCCACAGCCACAGACGAAGCAGCCTCCCAGCCAAAATCCACAATCCAGGCAGTTGGAGAGCGGAGGATGGCGATCCTGACACGTTCGCCGGGCGAAAAACAAAGCCGGAATGCTCTTACCTGCCTGGGGAAGATGGACATAACTCATTTGCATTGAATGAAAGAATTCCGCAGGGAGCGGGGAGTGTCGGGCCTCCAGATTGTGGAGGGTATTAAAATAAAAGTAGGCGAAACTAAACATTAGAGCATCAGCACGTACACTCTTCTCATTGCAGGCAAAAGGATCTCTTTATGATGAAAAGAAGATCGATGATAGGAACATGATCGAGAACAAAGAAAGCAATGGTGTTTCTAAGAATTCTATTTTTTGGCCGTACACTTTTGTCTGCTAATGAAAAATTCAGTCATTCGTTCATCAATGGAAAATATTGTTTTTATGGACATAGTGCATGTGCTAGAAAATGCCTGCTACTTTAAAAATAAGAAATATATTCGCTACGCTCTTAGAAGAAAAAACAATAACAAGACTAAATCTTTGCAGTCAGTAAGCACCTAAATAAAATCTAATAGGTGCGTTCTTAAAGTAAAAGTACTTGGAATTACTTTGAAATATTTAAAAACTTTATCTATAATTACTAAACATTCAAACTAAAAATTTTTCTGTACATCGGTTTCATTATGT